ATCTTGTGCAGCTTGTTTCCAATACTTGGCCTAGGTGGATGGCACCGTCGTCAGGACAAGTGAGACGGCGACGGGAAGGCGCAGACGGCGGCCGGGAGGGCGGAGATAGCCGCCTCGCCGGACATCATCGAGCGGAACGAGAGCGGGAGTGTGCGACGCCTCCTCTGCTCGAACGGGCCCGGATGACGATAGAGACGGTGGGACTGGCGAGGCACATGAGAAACACAGGCGGCGGTGCGATTTTCAGCGATGGCTGAAATCTCAGAAACACGGGAGGTGGCAACGGGGGGTTTGGCGAAAATCTCAGAATCGCGACGGCGGCTGAAATCTTGTCATTTCCCCGCAATTTGTGTAGATGGTGGCGGGACTGACTGGGGCGGCTGAGCAAGGCGGTTGCGGGACTGGCTGGCGGCGGACGGCGGGCGACAAGCGGCTGGTGGAGTTCTGACCGGAGGCAGATTAATTGGGGCTGGGATGTGCAGTGCGTGTGCGTGTGTATGGGGTGGGGTGGGGTGGGGTGAGGTGGGCTAGGGCCCACTGGTTGTGTGATGTTGCAATATCCAGTTTACCCTTGTGTGATAGGTGTAATATCTAATTTATCCTTAATCAATGTAATTGTTTTTGTTTTTTTTAGCCGTTGGATGATCAAGTTTGATGACTAAGATGCATTCTTATTTCTTTCACCGTGCACTATTCTCCCTATGTATATATGTCACAAATTATTAATAAAAAAGGAATGATCACATACTAGTGGTAAGGTTTAATCACTAACATAAAGAGAAATAAATAAATGTATAAAATATATATCAAGTTTTCCTTGTGATAAGGGTCAACTAAATAATTTCGATTTTGAATGGCCAACTTATTTGGATCTCCAAATTGTAGTTGACCGTCTCGCCTGAATACTTGAAACTGTAAGTTGGTTCCCGCATAGAGCCTCCGAAGATAAAGTGTCCATCATATTTCATGTATATGATAAGAATCGATAGAACGTAATCATACAATATCCAAAACTCACCCCTTATACATGGGGAGTACTAACTTTGTGCCCAAGAACTCTACCTTTTTCCAGGAAATTGAATATCCACATATCTTCTTATATTGCTAGATCAACTGCCATGTATTATGGATTCTCAAGATTTCCATACTCATACTCAATTAGTTTTTTTACGATCAATGGCTCTATTGTATTAACTCAGAATCACCCTATGGAACAATGTAGGTCCTGTGATACACCAGCTCGACTATCTTGGTCTCGGACCATATAGGCCATACTGCCATAGGTCGACAACTCGACCTAGCGCCCTTGGGACACCTACCTGGCCTACTCGACATGATCGGCCTACTGAACCTGCTGGACCTAAGCGAGTTGAGGAAGCTCTGGTTTAGAACAAACTACTCAAGAGCCCAGGTTTAGGACCAAGCTCTATATGCTATACCAATAACTCCCTCTATTTAAGAGCTCATGCGCTCTAACATGTGTGATCATAAATAGCTCGAGGTAGATCCATCGATCATGAAATGCAGGATCAAGAATGCATCACCAAATATTGAATTTAGCAGTAACAGACGCGACTTATTGGAAAGTACACTCAAGTACTCACGCCGTTTCGCATACAGAGGCAGCGTACTTGAGCATCTGAGATGCTTTGTGTACCGAGGTGCTATATTCACCGTAGATGTCAAAAGCAAAGCTAAAGATGAAATAATGCCTAACTAGTCGAGCCTTGGGCTGGTATCGTTTCACATTTTGAGGTGTTCCATCTCACTGTTAGATGTTGCAAGTGTAACCGTCGATCCAACGACCCTGCTTTGCTAACCTTTGACCTAATTCAACTTATTTCCTATAAAAGGGCTTCTTACTCTTCCATTTGATCTCTACGCACATTGAACAAGCAAAAGCCTTTACTTGTTAAAAGAAACTCCAGCGAACCTCCTACACTTCCCACCAAATTACCCTCTAAATCTCCACATCAACTTCAAATGGGTATGTCTTCTTGATTTCCCTTTGTAAACAACTACTCTGCGACCTATGTGATACTTATTCATTGGTTTTTCTTCGACCTTCGTTTAATTTTTTTTCGCCACCGACCATTTTTCCTTCTTCTTCTTGAGCACCATGACTCGCAACTCGCACTCCGGTTCTAGAATAAACTAGAACGACCTCTTTGATAATTCTTCCTCCTCCATAGCAATAATGGACCTTGCCTTGGAACTTCTATCAAGGCCCAGCCCCGTCAAAAGGGTGGGCCGAGCCATACTTTTTAAAGCTCGCAAAATAGTGGGCCTATACGTTCTAACCCGTGCAGGCTGCGGGCTTTGGCGGCGCGGGCCGTTGGCTAGCCCGCCTTATGTGTAATAAATTAAAAATGAAGGTAAAATAAAATTTGTTGTGTGATTTCACAAAATCAAATGTGATATTTTCCTGAGCCTTCTTCATCTTCTCACTGGAAATTACAATTAAATCATAAATAAATAGATGGTGATGAAAATTACAATGAAATTAAGGATAATAGAGTATACAAAAAACTAACATCACAAAGCAATTATAAATTTCACATTCACTAACGAACTACGCTGAGAGTATGACTCGAATTTCACAAACCAATTAGGGCATAGAGAATTGGGAATAGCCCAAATTTTTTAACCAAGACACCAACTCACCATAGGGCATAGACCACAAATAGCCTTGCAACTCGTGGATGCCGCCACTTTTCGACACCCTCCAATCGTTACTGCTTGTCACCCTCGTTCAACCAACGCTCACAGATTTGGCATTTGTTCCTCGAATGGCCACCATTTGTGAATACGAGAGGACAAAATTTCAAAGAAAATATAGAAAAATTCTATATCTATCCGTCAAATTGATAACTAAAGGAAGAAGATGGAGAGATAAGAGATAGAGAGAATACTGACGAGTTGATGTTGCATGTTCGGAAGAAGACTAGTACGTAGTTCGTGCGACCGTACCCTGAGGTCTGATCCCGCCCTCACCTTTAGGTTTGGATTATCCCAGGCTATCTGACCTCGATGCATAGCGAGGACAACTTACTTACTAGGATCCTGGAGGCCGGTACCCCCAGGTCGTGTCTGATCAGTCAACTCGGCACCCTTAACTTGTGTCCCAGCTACTTGGCTGAGCATCTTACCCCTATCCTCAAGAAAGTTCACCTAGCTTGGCCGTAGCCGAACTACCCTCTCAGACCGATAGTCGAGCTTATTTCTAGGTGCTATATCAGATATACTCACATTGATGATAGGTTTCTATTTCAAGAATTGAATCTCTACCACAACAAAAAGGAATTAGCCACACACACATCCAGGCACATACATATCAGTTCATAGTGTAAATCCAATTAATGATAAAGCAACAACAATACATCCAGAATAAACGAACTAAGAATTAAAATTTTACTGAAAATTTTGGTTGTTGTGCAGTCCCTTCTCAACTCCCGTCTTTGCCACAGCTTCTGTCTTCTCGACTCCTTTACCTAGAAAAAACAGTTAGGTTTTATTTATATGAGGTAATATTATAATTATAATGAGTTAAGAAGGGCATACTAGTACAATCAGTAATAAATTTTTCCTTTCCATCTAAATTCCTCCAAAATTGGAGGGGAGCTGTTCTTCTGAATTTGAGGAAAAAAGCTTACCTCCCTTCCCTACAAAAATTGAACCAAATAACATAAAATTAAAAAATTCCCTCATGTCCCTTCCCTTCCCTTCCGTTTCCACTAACCAAACACTACGTAGATTTCCCATTTATCGGTGGTTAGGTAGGTAAAATTTTGATATAGTCCAAATAATTTCCCATTTGTCGGCGGTTTCGTGGGTAAAATTTTGATATAGTCCCTTGTCATATAGAGATCTATGTAGTAACTCGAGTATGCGCTCTTAACTTGATGCAAACGCAAAACGGTGATCAATATTTTTTGTTGGTGTAAGTAGGCAAAGTCAATTTCTCTCCAGTCCTTGTAAGGTGCAAATATGATCTTTAGTTAAAGTAAACTAGTATAGTTGCCCGTGAAAATGTACGGGAGCTATAAAAAAATCATTAAAAGAGCATTTGCAATTCATACAAATGCAGAACGATTAAATATTATTGAGCACTTTCTTATATACAATGTTATTTGTCGTTGGGTTGTTTTTATCATCACAAATTAATATTTTCAATCATTTCACATTTGTAACTCTGAAACAACGACGTAAAATTTTGAGCTGTTTTTATCATCACAAATTAATATTTTCAATCATTTCTTATTTGTAACTCGCGAAACAATGATGTAAAGTTGGTTATGCGTAAATACAGAGTTCTTCAGGTATAACATTCATATAAATATAAATTAATCATCAATAACTAAAATATATATTTTACTTTTGATACGCATAAGATATAATTACCAATCAATAATGAGTCCTTAAAAAAAGAGCCTTTAGCCAAATCCGTAAAACTTTTGAAGTTATACATGGGAAATTTTTATTTGAAGTTTCACCATAAAATTTATCTTCAACCTTGCCATAGTAGTTTTATATCTATCGCCTAGTTATATATCTGTCGCTCGTGCTACAATAAAGTGTGGATACCCATGACTCCACCTTCTCTGATGAAAACGTTTGAACAAATCTACATGAATTTTTTTGATTGAGGCCTGGATTCTATATTCCCGTGAAACGTTAAAAACACAAATATTAGGAAACAAAATTAAATAGCATATGTATAATAACGAAATTTATAAACAAAAACGTCTCAAAAGAATCACCTCAATAGCAATTCCCAGAGAACGATATTTCGATCTTGAAAACAGTCATTTCATAATATCGCATCACACGGACTTTGATACTCCATTCTGTTTTTTATACCTTCTTTAGAAGTGTGTAATCAATTGTTTTGAATAAGATGTGAAATAGATGTGAATGTGATGGTACATAAATGAATATCAATGGTGTATTTATAACCTACAACATATATATCTTACTAAATAAAAAATATTTTGCCGTGTAAAATAACGATTCAACCCACTAACAATGTAACTTACAAACGTGTGTTTATGGGTGTATTTTTAATGTCTAACAAAACTTAACTTCTATCGACTTTAACTTTCAAACTGACTTTCCTGGTTTTATGGGTGTATTTTTAATGTCTAACAAAACTTAACTTTTATCTGACTTTAACTTCCAAACTGACTTTCATGGTTTTAGGAGCGTATTTTTAATTTCCCTATATTAGACGTGTTACTGTGTGTTAATATTTTTAGTTTGTTGAGTGTGGTAAGTATGTTTGACTGATTTACGTATTAAAAAACAAAATCAATTTCCAGAGAATGATATTTCGATCTTGAAAGCAGTCCTTTCATAATATCACATTACATGGACTTTGATATTCCATTACGTTTTTCATACCTTCTTTAGAAGTGTGTAAGCAATTGTTTGAATAGGATGTGAAAGAGATGTGAATGTGATGGTACATAAATGCATAATGAATTGCGTTTTATAAACTAAAACATATATATCTTACTAAATAAAAAATGCTTTGCCGTGAAAATAACGATTGAATCACTACCAATGTAACTTACAAACGTGTGTTAACTTCTATCTGAGTTTAACTTCCAAACTGATTATTTTTAACTTCCATATATTAGACGGTTATGTGTGTTAATTATTTTTACTTTGTTTTGTGTTGTTAAGTATGTTTGACTAATTTACATATTAAAAAATAAAATATTTTATGAACATAAATTTATAGGTCTAAAATAATTAACTACCTACCATTTAGCATTTAAGTCATATTTTTATGTTATCGCAATATTACTAATAAATACAAAAGGTATTTACGAAATACTCTTTATATTATGTAATCTAATATTTATTACATATATTGCATATATATATAATACTATTTGTTTATTCGATTAATTTAATCATGATCATATGTTTTAGATTTTTCAACTTATAGAAAATGAATAAAAAATATTCTACAAACATGATGTTATTTATCTATTATGAAGAATATTTGTGTGATTCATCGCACATGTTTTTAAAACATTTTATATCTAGTTTCACTATTATTAGATTTTATTTGTATATTGTAGAAAATGAAATAAAAAATATTCTCCAAACATGTTGTTATTTATTTATAATGAAAAATTTTTGTGTGTTATTCATTGCACATGTTTTTAAAATATTTATATCTAATTTCACTACTATTAGATTTAATTTTTATGTACAAAATTTAAGATAAAAAAATTTATAAAATTCAAGCAAGAAGCATACGAACACTTATAATTATTTTAATTTGTAAAGTATAAATTATGAAAAATAGATAAATAATTTAAACTAAAATCTTTAATATAAAATAAAATATAATTCTATAAAAACACCTGTCAAGTACAAACGTCTCGTACTTTTAATTGTTTGTATTAAAAAAATGAGTCACAACTGATGAACACATATCAAATTATTAAATAATAGGTCTTTGTTAGTTATCGATAAACTAAATAAATATTAGTTGAGGTAGTTAATATTGATATTTAATATAAATATGAACACGTGTCAAAGAATGTGAGGATTTTTCAAAAATAGTTAATTGTTTGTATTAAAAAAATGAGTCACAAATAATGAACACATGTGAAATCATTAAATAATAGGCCTTTGTTAGTTGTCCATAAACTAAATAAATATTAGTTGAGGTAGTTAATATTGATATTTAATATAAATATGAACACGTGTAAATAATGTGAGGATTTTTTAAAAATAGTAAGAGTATTGTAGGCCCCACATGAAACTTTCTAAAATTGAAAAGTGTGTTGCCTAATTATATAGTAGATAGATTCGTCTTTAGTTTTTGGTGGTAGGATGTCGGCCTTGCCTAACAGTCAATAATGATTTTAAAATGGTGAGTAATTTACAGGAAAATGTGGGCAAACATGGACATGTAACACCACATCCCTTTGAACAATGTTGATATACGATTCAGTTCGTGTATGTTTTAATTTATTTAAGCCGTCAGCCCATGGTTCAAAAACTACTACTTGTACGTTTTGTTTATTGTTTTCCATTTTTTTTTTACTTTTTTTTTTTTTTTTCAAATTTTAAATTATTACAAATTTTTTGTATTATTTGAACTTTACATAATTTTTAAATAGTTATGATAATTACTTATTAAAGCATGTCATCAAGTACAAAAATTCTAAAAAGTGTTGATATCACTAGGAACGATTTTTCATTTACATTTCTGTATGTACTTGATTCAATAAACTTGTTCGGTTTAAAGAGGAAATGTTAAGGACAGAAAGAAATAGAAGATCCTTATGCGCTCATATTTTTGATAGGTTTTGAAGGGCCGATTCATAAGGGATTGTGTGCAATGTTATTTTATTTACAATTTACTCATTTGAGTAATCTGAGGCATTTGAATGTTAAGAAATGGGGCTGAAATGAAAATCCTTTTGCAGCCAAATATGATTAACTCATACCCATTGTCAAAGAAATGGTTAGTGGCTAGTCAATTGGCAACCTGTTTTCTTTATTCAAAATTTTTCCTAATCAAGATCTTTAATGACTTAATACAGAATATAATAGAATTGTCAATTTACCCAATGAGGGAATAATTGAATCAGAAAGAGGATATGGAACTAGTTTTCAATAGCAGTTAGCTGTTTCCACATCTCTAACACAAGAACAAAACCAACTACCAGCAAGAGATTTGTTTTTGTGAGGTAAAACTCTATAAAAATAAAAAAAAAATAAAAAAAAAAAATAAAAAAAAATCTCCTTTAGAGACTGAAGATCAACTAGGTAAGAGGGATTTGGGAAAAACCAACAGCAAATTTACATTAGCAAGAATTCAACTCCACAAAAACAAGCCCTAAAAATTCAACTAAAAAACAAATCCTTAACCCTATCCAAATCCCAGTTTCACTCCCAACAACAGAGCTAAAAAAGCATATTTCAATTACATAAAATTAGCGTGGAACAACAAAACCCAAGATTTGATTTATCTAAGAATCAACATCCTTATTCTTCCGAAGCAGAGCAAAATACCCAACAACAGCACAGAGCGCAGCCACAACATTCCCTTCCTTGATCAATACCCTGAGCACGAACCCAGTAATCTCAGCCGTCAATTTCTTGCCCTCCACCACCAGATCCTTTCTGGGCTTCCCGCAGAAAGTCAAGAGCACGAGGACAGTTATCCACGTCACCAGCGTGGCCGGCACCGCCACCGCCAGCGCCGCCACCATGGACAGAACGCCGAACGCGAGCCCGAGAAGCATCGACACGTACAGCGCGGAAGAAGAATAAGAAGAAGAATACTCGAATTCGTACCAGGAAAGAACGGATTTGAGGAGATTCCACGAGAGAGAGAGTAGAACGGTGTAGACGGAGACAAAAAGGAAGACCCAAGTTCTTCTTTTGCTCATCAGCTTCAGGAGAAGAGTGGGATACTCTGATGATTTTTCCTCAATTGGGGGTGCCGAGGGTTGGGATTCTCTGCAGTTTGTTGCTGCCATGGAGATTGTTTTGGTTCTACTGTTCAATTTTGACGTTGATTTTACTCCTTCCCTCAGGCTGCATCATTATTATTCTATTTCAGCCCTTTATTTACGTTTCCTTTTTCAGTCCAGGATTCTTTACTTTGTTGGTGAAAAGTTGTTTGGGAGTAATATAGTAGAGTTAGGCGAATGTGTGAAAACAAATAAATTAAAAGTGGAAACGAATATTTAAACAAATTAGTATTTAAATAAATCATGTTTCCTTTATCTACAAAAGAAAAAATAAAAAAAAAATATAAAAATAAAATTAATTAAACTCATTATAGTAATTCATTTCTTAGAAATGGTAAGACCAACTCCAATGCTGCGTTGGAGTAGAGTATTACGCTAGAGTTGTGGTAATATTGGGCTCCAACGCAGCGCCACATCTTGACGCTATTTCAGATAAATCTACAGTGCAGCGCCAGATGTGGCGCTACACTATTCACCTAACGCTACATTTTTGTTCTTCTTTTTTTTTTTTTTACGTATGAAATGTATTGAAATTATATAAAAACATATATATAATAACATTGTCGTAATTTCCAACATTATAAAATACTATTAAATATATTATATTAAACAAACTAATATTGATATCTATATATATTGTTTGTATGTTCTTTGCAAACATTATAAAAATATTTGTGGAATATAATTTTGTAAATAAAATAATCATAATATATATATTGTTGTATAGTTGTATACTATTGTAATATATTAATATGTGATAAATAGTTTGACAAATAATATGACTATAAATAATTTTTTGTTTTTTTATGCTCTAAACCATATATGGTCTAGTGTGTAAATTTGCACTAATTCATATATGGTACAAACCATATATGGTCTAGTGTGTAAATTTGTATAATGTGTATTAGTAAATGTATTTTTTATGCTGAATAATTTGTGTAATGTATTTTTTATGTTAAATAATTTTGTGTTTTTTATTTATTGATGTATTGTAATTTTATTTTGTAATTTATTAATATTAAAATGATACCATATGAATAAAAATTTAACACACTCAAACAAGTTTATTTCATTAAAATTAAAGTTACAACACACATAAATCATTGAACATAAATAAAAACAACATGATTAAAAATGACTAAACACACAAATAAAAACAACATGATTAAAAATGACTTAACACACAAATAAAAACAACATGATTAAAGATGACATAAAAATATTTAAACAAATTAGTATTTAAATAAATCATGTTTCCTTTATCTACAAAAAAAAAAATAAAAAAAAATATAAAAATAGAATTAATTAAACTCATTATAGTAATTCATTTCCTAGAAATGGTAAGACCAACTCCAATGCTGCGTTGGAGTAGAGTATTACGCTAGAGTTGTGGTAATATTGGGCTCCAACGCAGCGCCACATCTTGACGCTATTTCAGATAAATCTACAGTGCAGCGCCAGATGTGGCGCTACACTATTCACCTAACGCTACATTTTTGTTCTTTTTTTTTTTTTTTTTTTTTTTTTTTTACGTATGAAATGTATTGAAATTATATAAAAACATATATATAATAACATTGTCCTAATTTCCAACATTATAAAATACTATTAAATATATTATACTAAACAAACTAATATTGATATCTATATATATTGTTTGTATGTTCTTTGCAAACATTATAAAAATATTTGTGGAATATAATTTTGTAAATGAAATAATCATGATATATATATTGTTGTATAGTTGTATACTATTGTAATATATTAATATGTGATAAATAGTTTGACAAATAATATGACTATAAATAATTTTTTGTTTTTTTATGCTCTAAACCATATATGGTCTAGTGTGTAAATTTGCACTAATTCATATATGGTACAAACCATATATGGTCTAGTGTGTAAATTTGTATAATGTGTATTAGTAAATGTATTTTTTATGCTAAATAATTTGTGTAATGTATTTTTTATGTTAAATAATTTTGTGTTTTTTATTTATTGATGTATTGTAATTTTATTTTGTAATTTTTTAATATTAAAATGATACCATATGAATAAAAATTTAACACACTCAAACAAGTTTATTTCATTAAAATTAAAGTTACAACACACATAAATCATAGAACATAAATAAAAACAACATGATTAAAAATGACTAAACACACAAATAAAAACAACATGATTAAAAATGACTTAACACACAAATAAAAACAACATGATTAAAGATGACATAAAAATCAAAGGAACACACGAATAATTCTAGTAGTCTCCCAAACCACTTCCAGACCCGCCAAGATCTTGAAAAAACTCACTGAAAGAACCAAAAGTGTTGCTGGCTTGTGATGGCTGTGATCCTTCTCTTTTTCTCAGAATTCGTTCTTGCTCATTTTTAAAATATTCACGACGACGCTATCTTGTATTGACTCCAAATCCATCATTAAAATTTTGTTTTCCTCTGTCCATGTGGTAGTCTCAACAAGTTGTTTTCTTAATTCATTTTTTTGCTTTTGGATTTCAATTTTTTCTCTTATCATCTCACTGTCATGATCTCTCTTCATTGCTGAACTTCTCATCATCTCTCTAAATTTTTCATTTTCCTCTTTCATTGTTTTTATAACTGCAGATACGTCTTCTCCCTGTTTTCTCTTGAATTTTGATTTTTTAATACCTAATGGCCGTTGTGATGATGAACCACCACTAGCATTTTCATCGCTTAAATTAATAGAAAAATTAGAGAGTTCTGGATTAGGTGAAATGGGAGACTCGGGTTGTGCATCTGATTGCGGTTGAGATGAAAAAGTGTTTCGCCTGGTTGATGTGCACTCAAACAATGTAAAATCTTTCATAATATTCCACACATGCTCGTACTTGAATGGTTTATTACTTTTATTTTTTGGGTTTTGAGAATAAAGTATATTCGCACGCTCCATCTACAATGTGAAAGTAAATAACATTAGAAAATATAAATGTTTATTTTAAATATAAATAAATAATGGTTGTAAAATTTCTTACCACATCATGTTCAAAAGCTCCACTGATGTTTGCATTTTCAATTTGCTCCACACAAGATTTGAAAAGTTTAATAGCAGTATTGATAGTTCCCATGCGACATTGGATCGATCTTTGTGGACGATCAGGCCATGATGGATTGGGTTTTGTAGAATTATACTCATTCGTCACCCGGAGCCAGAATTGATCTCTACTTTGATATATGCCCACCTCTGGATCTTGAGAAATTTCCATATAAGACCGACATAGGTGTTGATCTTCATTCACAGTATAGTTGGAACCCATAAGAGAGATTACTACAAGAATGAATTTAAAACGTAAATTAGAAAATGATGAAGTTATATTTTGGTGGTACAAAATTTTGCCTCATCATGTAGCGTATTTATAGTATATTTCATTTCCATTGATAAGAATCGTACGGTTGACATTCGTGATAGGAAATCTAAGTTAACGGCTAAAGATTAAAAGGTGTAGATTTTCTTATCCACATCTCAGCCGTAGGATTCTTATCTAAATATTAATGGCTAAGATTAAAAGGTGTAGATTTTCTTATCCACATCTCAACCATAGGATTCTTATCTATAGATTTAAAGGCTAAGATTAAAAGGTGTAGATTTTCTTATCGTACGGTTGACATTCGTGAAAGGAAATATGAGTTAACGGCTAAGATTTAAAGTTGTGGATTTCCTTTTCCACATATATGGTCTAAACCATATATGGTCTAGTGTGTAAATTTGCACTAATTCATATATTTTCAAAAGTAACAGTTTTGATTCAATCGGTACATAGATGTATATGTATCTTCTTTAAAAAATTCAATTTATTACAATCATTTTTAAAATGTGAATATATGTTGTAAACCATATATGGTCTAGTGTGTAAATTTCCACTAATTTTTAAAAAGAATATGTTGATAAACGGATTTAATCAACGTAATCAATGTAAAAATAACAATAAAGATTGTAGAAAATGAGATTTTTATTGAAGATCTTGAAGTCGACTACAGAATTGGGAAGTCGGTTTTTCAATGTTCACTAAGTCGGTAAACAAGGTAAAACCGAGATAAATATATGTGTTTTTCTCAATTTTTGCCGAATCCTCGTATCGTTTTCGATGTTGCTATTTATAGTTATGCTTGGCACACCTCCCTAGGCAAATCAGCTCCATTTTAATGAAGATTTGACATTTTAGGGGCGGCGATGACGTAGACAAGCTTCTTAGGCAATGATGAACATGGGCGCGCCTCTATCTGTGTGACAAGCGTCACATCTGTCGGATTGAAGTCGGTCCGTTTCGCGAAGTCGATATTTTGATCAAATTTCAGTCTTCTATGACTTCTCGATAAATTATCCTTCAACCGAGGTGGTCTTTTTTGAGGTTTAAACGATTTATTCTGACGACCTTTAAGATTTGCTGTATTATTCACAACATCATATGAGAGCGTCATATAAGCACCGAGATGAGATTCCCGAGGTGTCTTATATTCTGTATTACATCGTCCAGGATCCAGTCCGCGGTTTAAACTTCACGATTTCTTTAATCTAACCATAATTTCAAGATATTATTTCTTGATATCAACATAGAGGCCCCTGGCATTAAGAAGTATGCGAATTATGCATACTTTTTAATGACACCTTCTGTCCAATCGCTTTTTGTTTCCGAGCTGATCTAAGGATCTCCCATGTAAGTTTAAACCGAGGTATTTCCCTTAGACAAGAATCACATCTTTTTGCTCCTTTACCAAAGTTATTTCACACTATAAGAAAATTATTGAGCGGTTTTCGAAAGGTCGTGAACGTGTCTTCTCCAATACTCTTCTCAATGGGCACGTACCATAATTTTCGGATATTAATGTT